AGTCAACTTGACTGAGCCGGGTAGAAATCGATCGATCAACTTCCAAGTTTCCGAATCAACTTGATGCCTTGATGACGAAAGATCCTGGACCGGGTAGTTTCATCAACTTGATGACATCGAGTCTTGCGAGGCCGAGAGTGACCATCGATCGATTTCTACCCAGACTCAAGAGATGTCCGATCTTGCCAAACGCCGGCATCCCGGAGTCCGGCCCGCGGTCCGATCCAGCCTCGGATCTTTTCGTCAGCTCAAGGCCTCTGTTCTTCCCTGCCCGGCCATAATCTCAGGTCACGGGTGTGTTCCGGCACTGGCACGGTATGCGGCAGTGCGTCTCACTCCGCTGATCGGACATGGGATGTCTACTTGACTCACTAAGTCATTTGGAAACTGTTTGGAGTTCTACTAGGCTACCCGGTCACCCCGGTACGTAATGCCTCAGTTCGAGATAATCTATCATAGTATGGTCGTGAGATCAGGACAATTCGTGCCAAATATCATGATGGCACTTGACGTTGCTATCCCCTGGACTCGGGGCTTCTGGTACAAATTATGGACGGCGGTCTAAGATGAGGAGGAGCACAGGAGCATGTGGACAGCGCAGGCGGATGAGGAGCGTCTCTAGTGGCATGCGGATGGTACAAGCTGAGGAGCCCGAGTGCACGAGCATCAGGATGCGCTAGAGGAGGACAGCGCAGGTGCTGCAGGAGTGCTGATGAAGCGCACTGGCAAGCGCTGGAGGAGCAGCGCAGGCCCTGCAATGGCGGGGAGCAGCCGCAGCGCAGGTGGAGGAGCAGCGCAGGTGCTACTCGTTATTATCATTGATAATGACCTTGGCAATATTGAATTGGTTGTCATACAGAAGAATGATAAGACTGGTAATTATGTTATATTTGTGTAAATATAGTCTGTGAAAGAGTTTTTCGAAAGTGGCCAAATGGATATGTTCAATGATTTCATTATCAACATTTTTTCTAACTAATTCAGTAGGGGGCTTATGGGTTGACCTAACCTTGACCTTGACCTTCGTGCTGGTTTGAATCGTTGTCACAGTGAAAGGATGCAAGATAGCTTGAAAGCAGGGTAGAAAGAACCTAAAAATTGACTGATATTTAGTACTTTGACCTTCAGTTTTAGAGTTTTAAGTTTTGTTTTTATCTCTTTCTTGGAACTGTTCCACATATCGTGAATGGCAATTGCTGATGAAATATACGCTATCCTCCATGAGAAGCATCCTCGCTATCCTCCATGAGAAGCTCTCATGGAGGATAGCGTCCAAGAGAGATTCCGAGTCTGCGTCTTCATCGTCGCCCGAGGCCTCTCCAAATATGAGCTGATGACGAGAGGCTTGAATATTGCCAGGGTCACGCAAGCAAAGGAGCAGGGCTAGGGCTGTGAGGAAACTTCTCAAGAGTGTCTTGGTAAATCTGATCGAAGTCATCAGTCCGCAGGGCCTGCCCCCGTGAGGGTGCGTCTTGCTTTGTGAAGATCCCTATTGTCATAATGCTCCAGGGCGAGATCGAGTTTCCTGCGCTGAAGGCTGCGCCCGTGGGCTGCCGGGGCCCTGCCCACAACCGGCGCCTCGATGGAGCTCCTGCCACCACTCCCGCCGACCCTCGCGAGTCCCGCTCGTGGTACTTGGGAAGAACGACCTTGGCCGCCACTGTCGATATCACTACCTGCTCTGAGGACCTGCAAGGGCCTTCCCATGTCTCTTTCGGTGGACTGCACGAATCCCCGGGCAATGCTGTCACCAGGGCCTGTGCCGGGCTGTGGGCGGCTACCGTCTGATGTACCCGTAGAAAATTGGAGCTGTTGAGACAGTTTCTGAAAGATTTTGTCCCACTTACCTTTCATAAAAAGTCTGACACGGGAACAGATCTCAGCATTTCCTCGGTTGATAGAGAGGCGAGGGCCTGGCGAGAGGAGCAGCAGCGGGAGGGCGTCCCAGAGGAGCCGGAGCTGTCCTGCTGCGGGAGAAGAGAGACCAGGCGCAAGCTGAAGCATGCGGAGGGTAGCCTGAGCTGCAACCTTCCAAGCTTGTAATCCTTCCTTGTTCAAACGCTTGACTGTAAAAATGGCTGGACTGCGACTGAGGAGTTGGAGCAGGACCTGCTCGGAGTGCTCAAACCACCACGTAATTCCAGCCTCCCATCTGGCGGTGCCAACGGGGAAGTCTGTTGCCTGTAACTTGAAGACGCAAGCCATTCCTGAGAAGATACTGGGGAAGCTGGACGCAACAATCCGGGGCCCGACGACCTCGGTGGGGGGACCATTGCATTAGAAGGATTGGGCTGCGCCAGCCTTACCGATGAAGGTCTTGAAGCCTCGGCCTCAGAGGAAAGCAGTGGGGCACTGCCGGATGAAGAAGCTGTGCGGAAAGAGGCAGTGCTGATAACCGTCTGTCTTGCATTTCGCCGGGTGGGAACGGCCAGTCCCTGCACGCCCTCGCTGACCCCTGCCGCCTCGGCGGCCCCCACCGCCGGGCCCGGATTGGGGGCGCTGCAGCTGAATATGAAAATCCAGGATTGTTGATTAGCGCTTTTCATGACCGGTACTTTTGACTGCACTTATACGGGTACTTGCCCTTGCACCGAAGCACCCTTTTACCCCCATTATCATTGAGTAATAGGGGGTGGGGTATTTGAATTGGCATGGGCGGAAACCTTCAAGACCACTCCACTCCCCTCGAAACTTTTAACAGACGACATGTTTTAAGGCTGCGAAAACGTTTTAGAAAGATACGAATAATCATAAAATAAATATAAATTGGAAACACAGTAGAAAAGACTTAGAAATTCAATACAAATGTTCCAATTTTTTTGGTACCTGATTCAAATTCAATGTGTACTGTGTTTCTGGGTTTGGTACAAGAATGAAGCCACCGGGTCCTTTTCTGCTAGTAGGTGGGTCCGGTATACTGTTAACAGTTAAATTCTTTCGGGCCTTATTTTACTGTTAACAGTTAGCATGAAAAGTGTTCCGGTATACTGTTAACAGTATTCCAGCAAATTTTCGTTTTCGTCATCAATTTTCAAAATATGCGTCCAAAAGAGTGAAATTTTAATGGCGGTACATGCAAAAATGTGTGCAAGATGCTATGCTTCCGAACGCAGATCAACTTCCGGTGCTTCCGATGCCAATGTCGAACACAAGGGCAACCAGAACAGATCTCTAAGTTTAAACAAGTGAGCTGGCATGGGCTTAAATGATGATAAGAGCTCGGTAAGAATGACTTTATTACAGACAAACTATAGCTTTCAAAAACATGACCAATGCACATCATCGGACGATGTAAAGTCAGACAAACATACCAAGTTTGAATACACCGACTGCGAAATTAGAATTCACGACATCATCAGCTTCACATCTGCGAAATGGTGTTCACCTTGAGCCGACATTTCCGAAGGACATCGCTATCACCTCATGTTTGAGTCATGACAGACAGTCTTCGTTGCGACCCTCCTCATGACAGAGTCCGTCTTGGTTGCGTATTTATGAGTGTCTGAGAGACCTGTTGCTGTCCCTGGAATAATCAGTGCTAGCTTTTGAATAAACTTGGATAGCTATGATCCAACTCGATTGACAGCAGCAATACATCGGATCTTGACGTGAAATCTTTCAACGTGACATTCTGTAGGTTTTTGACCAGGAAAAACAAAGGAAAAGTGGCTTTTCTCAGTTCTCTGGGTCTTAGTACCGGTTATAGGTAATGACCCGTCATTATCACTGGATTTGGGGGGGTAGAGGTGGTAGATTGGTTTCAGAGCGGTCGTTGAATTTGTTTTTAATGCTTGTATTTTTGTTCAAATAAAAGGTACAGATTTTTGGTACCATAGTTAGGCATAATTGTACCATACTTCGTATTATTTTATTTTAAATGTATATATATGTACAAAGTTTATACATATTTGTACTGTAAACAATTGATACAGTACCTTTGTTTGACTATGCACCGGTCCTGTTGTGAGGTTATGGCCACCGGGGTAGGTGGGGAACAAACCCTACCCCCTAGTCGTGTATCAAACCACCGGTACGTGGACACTTATTTGAAAAAGCTGGGGATTTGAATTTGCGCGGGCTGGGTATCGTCCACGCACTAGTACAGATTCTGGAAGTCAAACGAGTTTTGAAGCGCACCAGGCATCAGATTGGGGTGATGATGGTAGAGAGATTCTTGTTCTCAGCCTGAGCTCTCAAGCTCTGAGCCTGAGCACCGCCGCCGCCGCCTTCACTGCCGCGCCGGCCGCCTGGCAAGCTCTCAGCCTGACTCGAGTGAGCACCCAAGCTCTCAGCCTGACTCGAGTGAGCACCCAAGCTCTCAGCCTGACTCGAGTGAGCACCCAAGCTCTCAGCCTGACTCGAGTGAGCACCCAAGCTCTCAGCCTGACTCGCCGAGTGAGCACCCAAGCTCTCAGCCTGACTCGAGTGAGCACCCAAGCTCTCAGCCTGACTCGAGTGAGCACCCAAGCTCTCAGCCTGACTCGAGTGAGCACCCAAGCTCTCAGCCTGAGCTCTCAACTGCTCAACCTCAACCTGAATTGTCTCATGATGATGCCGAACGAGCGAAGAGGGTGCTCATACAAGGAAATGCTTTGCGCTGCATAGAACAACATGCTGCAGTGAGAAATTTCGTTTACACTAAGGATTCGAAGTGTCCTGGGCAGCCGCACATTGGCAAATTTTTGAATAGCGTGGGCGAAAATCTGACCGATTGGCCAATCGCGCCTCCCTGCAAGACGTTTGATCAGTTTTGGCAAGACATTCAATCGAAAATTTCAAAGCCTCACCACGAGAACCCCATCAATTTTGACTATGTCGAAGACCCGGAGGCGCAAGAAGCGTTGGAAATTGCATATAATGAATACATGGTCCCAGTTTTGTTGAAGGTGTTGCAGATGGTAGCGATCATTCATGGAGTGAAAGATCTACCGCATGAAGAGCTATGGAAACGTCTTGGAAATTGCTTGCGGCCACGAGAAGAGTCAAATGTGTCGCCAAGGATGAACCCTTTGTTGATTGACAAAGTTATCCTTGGCCTAATGCAGAATGAGAACGTCAAGAAGTGCATTGAAACAAAAATCCCTACCGACGAAAAATTTGAAAAGAAATTGAAATATGTTGCCCGAGCATACGCGCCGAATGTCAATGAAGCATGTACTGGAGTGCATGCATCCAGAATGCCTATGAGGTCCTACATCGCGTATCATTCACACGTGAAAAGATTGAAGAGGGTTGCAGTTTCTGCGAAGCTAATCTGTAAGACGAGGGTCATGAAGAAAATCTGGCTGAAGAAAAACTTGAAGATGTTTTCCACTCGAGACCATGGCCATGGACTCAGTCTCAAAACTAGTCTCACCATGAAACTCAAGCAACTTGGCCTAGACCGTGAGAACATCATTGCTATGACTTTGAACTCAGATGCTGCGCTGCTTATCCGGAATCTCGGTGGAGACACCAAGCATACAGAAATTAGTTTCACGGTGTTTGTTCCAAAGAAGTATTGCAAAAATCTTCAGCAATGGGCGGAAGAGGAAAAGCGCATAAGACAAGCTTCGGACGCTTGTACCCTAATGATAATTCCTTTGTCAGACACTACAGCAACTCTGAAATTCAATTTCTGGGAGCCCTATCAGCCTGACATAGTATCCATTCTCAGAGATGGTTTGAAGATAGGGGATGCTACCATCAAATTTGTCTTGTTCTTCAGAGCAGATTTAATGGGACAAAATTCTCTGCTAAGTCACGGGGGCAGAAACGACTCAGACGGTACTTTCTGTATTCATTGTTGTGAACAAACTTCAGATCGGAAATCTGGAAAGTTCCTCCAAATTCGGGAGATAAATGGTGGGCCAGTCAGCTTCCGAGAACTTTGCAGGATGCATGGTACAGATCCTCTTAGTGTTAAGCTACTGAACGACATGATTCTCAAAACCAACAGTTCCAATTTGACGAACCTAATTGAAGATTTCAACGAGCATCTGTTCCAGGCTTTGGCATCGACTTCGAATCAAGATAAACTCAATCAATGCTTCGCAGATCCCGATGAAAAAATTGACGTTGCCGGACTTTCCCTTCCATTGCTGCGCTCTGTGAAGATCTCCAGAAAATGTCGCTATCTTGAAGAACTAAATTTTGACACTATTCATTTCATTTACTGTATGTTGCATCTGAAAATTCGGATTGTTAACATGTTGGTAAATCACGTCGTGCACCTGGCAGTAAACAGGTCCAAGTTGTCAGCAATCAACAAGCTATTGGCTGACAACAATATCAAGATCGTATTGAAGGACAAGGATTCGCAAAGGAATCTGAGCGGACCTCAGTGCGATCAGTTTATCCGTATTTTCGATACACTTATTTCTTCGTTGGTTCCAGATGGTGAAAAACTTCAATTGTGGAGAAGTGCTATTGAGCAATGGAAACAAATAATCACAGTTTTGTCATGCCAGCATTCAGAAGCTATCAGCAGCGAAGATGTTCAGAATTTACCAATCGAAATCAGAAGTTGGTGTACAAAAATCATCTGTCTCATCGCAGATTCCAAGCAATTGCAGAGTCACTACCTGCACTCGCTGATGGTGGGTCATATTGGAGAACAATTTACCTATTTGTGGAATACTTTTGGAATCCCAATGGGTTTGATGAGTTTGTCTTGTGTAGAACGACGTCATCAGCTTTTGGGACGTCACAGCTACAAAACCTCGATTCCAGCCATTAATTGTGCAATGAGCGGGAAAAGGAAGCAGCAAGGCGAAAGCCTGAGTGAACATGGACCGTGTGGAGCAGGAGAGAAAACAAGGAAGGATTGTCAGTCTTACTTCACTCTGTCTGAATTAGCTCTGCACTCGTTCAACGAATGCACACCTGATGTTCATACCTGATTGTTCTAGTAAATGTATGTTGCGGCTAATCTGTATCGTTTGTCCTTTCCCCTCTGCTCTCCTTCTTAATCCGATGAACATACGTTTACTAGAACGTATGCTGCGTTGTAAACGTATGTTGCGTTCTATCCCCTCCACTCTCCTTCAAAGCACTAAGGGAGGGAGAATCATCGGAGAAAACGAAGCGCCAAAAGAGTCAAGGGTCTGGGAATTCCCAGATTATTTTCATTATTCCAGCCTAATCGCACGATTCTCGAAAATTTCATTTTAATTACAGCTCGATCGACGTTCAAGCTAGGCTTGGAAACGAGTGTAAAATACAGCGGACCTTCAAGATAGATAGTGCCCCTCGCAGGTCCTAAATCATAAGGATTCGCTTTGAGAGGGATGTGCAGCTCTCTCTGAAACAAAGCAGTTTTCAACAATTCTGCATCTATGCACCAAGTGAATTGTTTCCCATTTTCTGATCCCGCACACGTAACAAGCTTGTCATCAATTGGGACCTTTTGCAATAAGGCAAGTATGCAATTGAATACAGGAATATGAATGTCGAAGTCAAGCCTCCTTGCTTTCCTTGGATTCCAATTAACAGCTCCACGAGCATTGAGCCATCGCTTTAGAGTGTCTCTGATTATCCCAAGCTCTGTAGAGGTTTTGAAATAATCGATCGTATTTCCTGGTTGTCCAAAATATGAGTGCAGCATATCAGCTGTCAGACGAAATTTTTGGAAGAACCCCATTTGGAGTCGCTCGTCCCTGTTCACATTTTCAAAACAAAGCCATCCGATCACACGCAAATGTTGTAGAGTACTCTGAATGGCACTTTGGACAGAACAGAAAGGAAATGTAACTTTGAATATTCCGACCACATCAGCCAGTGGAAGAATATCAGTGTAGATGCTCTGAAAACAATCGTTGGGTTGCATGGAATCGAGATATCTGCGATATCTTCGCTTGTCGGCTTGGGAAATGTTCTCAAACACTTCCGTCAAAGTCTCTTTGCTGTACAGCACATACACTTCAAGCATTTTATCTGCAGTGACTTCCTTGATCAATCCGCATCTATGCTTCTTATGCACATCGTGAAAAAAGACACCAACAGAAGGAATCAAATCAAACTCCATGTCCCAGTCACAAGAGAAATATTTAGGAGCATTCAAGACATCTGAAGCCTCAAGTGATGCAAAGCATAGGGGGATTTGCGCTCTAGATTCACCAACTACCCTTTCTCGGATATTTAGCCCTGTCTCATGATCTCTCTGCTCCAGCTTTCTTCTTTTCAAGTCCGCATCTGCAGCTGCATTGCGTCGATCCATGCCGATGAAGGAGGTAGGTGTCTGGGGGAGAGCCTCAGAGACGGAAATAAGAATATTTTAATTTGTACTATTATCCCTGACTAAAATTATTTATAACCTCACTTTCAATCTAGATTTGAGACCATCTGAAATTATCTGGTACTAATATTCAAACCAAGATACCACCCCTTATTTCCCAGCGACTACCCTATACACAGAATTAAGGCGTACCTTAGCAAAATCCTACAGAATGTGATGGATTGAGAAAGTGCACTTTACGGTGTATTGGATGCTATCGATGTGTATCATAGGATAACCCAGTAAGAGGAGCATTGCTCTTGATGATCAGCGCGTTGGGGGCGACTTATGCCGCCGCAGTGCGGGAGGGGCAGCATGGAGCCAAGGCGGGTCAGGGGGGCTCACCAGGGGAGTTTAAAAATCTAACTTTTAAATTTAACTAACCGCGATGAAACAATCGCGGTGCTTAATTTGATCGGATTTGAAGTTTAATCGAATCAACCTCCACCTCACTGGCCAGAATTCTGTTTAACCCAAGATCCACCAAAGACTAACTCTCAGTACACCTGAGATCCTCACACCAACCTTATTCACCTCAACGATACACAGCTGTGCAGTCTCTAACACCTTCACTGATGGTGATAGAACTCTCAGAAGAACCACACAACACCACCAACACTTCCTTTATTCACAGCAGTCACCTTCCCTTCAGTCCCTTGTAACCCAGTACAATGCACAGCGCGCAATGGACACGTGTCCTCCTAACCCCCTCTTCTCCGCCTGACCCTCAGGCTCGTCGATTCCTTAATTCCAGACCTATGTCGAAACCCACTTCCATCTCGCTGAGCTTTGTCCACCGATGAGACGCAATACCCTGAACTTCTCGCCGTCTCCAAGAACTTATCCGAGTTCTTACACCCTCCCTGACGAAGTTCAGCGAGATTCTCAGCTTCCTTTTCCACTTCATCCTTCATCCTCTGGGAACCCCCTTTTTAAACATCTCCCTGCTCCTCCTCCAAGCTGCAACACCGCGCTCTCCTCCTCCAAGCTGCAACACCGCGCTCTCCTCCTCCAAGCTTCCTGCATCCTTCCTGCATCACCTTCTCCTCCATCAAGCTTCCTGCATCCTCCACGCAAGCTCCTCCCTGCGTCTTCCTGAATCGCAATCTCGTCCTCCAAGATCAAAGCTGCTTCTTCCCCCTAGATCCTCCTCAGTCCATGCTCCAAGCTCCTTCCATCCATCTTTTACCTACATATTCTCCTTCATAGAAACCTCGTCAGTACCATCAACACTCCTCCACCACCTGAACTCGACTGTGCCGCACTGCACTTGTTCGTCAGGCTTCCCCTCTGATCAGTCAGGCTCCCCAGACACCTTTCTGATCATCTCGTCATCCATCCCATCATTGTGCTTCAAATCCCATCCGATTTCAATTGTCACCCATCTGACTTTCTCAATCCAAATTTTCCACCCAATGATGTCCACCTCATTCATGACCAATGTGTTTGTCCTAACTATCCTGCTCTACGGGCCCATCTAACAAATCGCTATCTAACCGCGGTATGAAAGATTGATTTGGCGCCATTTCACCTGAGAGCTCTTGAGATTTCATTTGCATGCATGTTCATTTCAATTCTCATATTGACCATATGATCTTCTTTCATTTGCCTTTCCCCATCAATCATCTCTTCATTTTCAATTTCTCAATTTCTTAACGGCCGATTTTTCATCAATTTCAATTCTCATTTCAATTCTTGCGATCATAGGTCTTGTATCTTGCGATCATGATGGGAGGCTTCACATCCTAATCTGCTTGACTTGACCTAGAGTTCCTTGAACAGTCTTCGGGAGAAGAAGCTTGATACCACGCCATGCCAATCATCTGATTCTACTTCTCAATATCAAACCTTCCTTCCAAGGTTCTCCCTCCCTGAATCAGAGATTGGTGCAGGCGATTGCTCGTTGATACCAGCTGTACGATGAACCCCATTGTATTCAAGCTGGGATAAATCCCACTGAAGTTCAAAGTTGCTCCCAAAGCGCTGTCTCCAGGCAGTCTCTACAACTACAGTCAGCACACAGTTGCGACAGAAATCATACTGCTTTGATTCTGTAGAAAATCTTTCCCCCCATGTCCTGCAACTGCGCCACCCTGGCTGACAAGAATCCTTCTTTCCAACATTGTTCCACCCCCCAAGCTTGCACACCTAATGAGTCACGCACTCATAATCGTAAGCAGAGATGTGTCACTCATCCAGCTCGTCGCCATGACTTCCCAAGGCAAAGTAATTCAAATCTTCACCAAAGAGAAAAGAACTCACTGCTTTCCATCTCGTCAATGGCAAAATCTTTGTGAACAAATCCGCAGGCTGAAACTTTGTAGGCACCTTCACAGGTAACAGATCCCCTTCATCTATGTGTTTCAACCGAGAATAAGCTCTCTTCTCTGTCAGCAAACGGATACAGGGCTCGTTATCCAGGAGCAACATCGTCGGGCCGGACTGTGGAAACCCCAACTTCTGTAGCAAGTTACGATACATCTTGACGTGTTTGGCAACTACAGAGGTAGCATAAATTTCTGCCTCTGACGATGACAAGGAGATAACTTTCTGTGCCTTGGATCCATATGAGATTACACCTCCGTTCATCACAATCGCGTAGCCAGATTGACTCCTCCTTGTCAAAACATCAGTTCCCCAGTCGCTGTCGCTAGCTGCCACCAGCTGATTGTGAAGGATTTCTTGATTCACAAATACTCCTCTGTTGTGATAAACGATACAAATGTCTCTTGTAGTGTGTAAATACCTCGCGAGATGTAGCAGCGCCTCCCAATCACGAGCTCTGGGCGCTCTCGAAAATCTGCTCAGAAGACTAACAGCGAAGGCAATGTCTGCTCTTGTGCCATTTGCGATATACAGAATTGTCCCAAGAAGTGCTTGATACTGCCGCACTGCAGATTTGTCTAGCAATTCTCCTTCAAGATGATAAGTCCGCATGTACAAACCAGGAAGGATCGTAAACACTGAACGCAGAGGAATTCCGAACTTGTCAATCAGTTGTTCAATGAAATGTTTCTGACTCAGCGTGATAGTCCCTTTCGTTAAATCTTGATGAACACGAATCCCAAGAAATGTACCAGTGGCTTCACTTCCAGAAAAATCAAATACCTTGCTCAGCTGATTCAGAAAATGATCACATACTTCCTGATTTTCACACACAATAAGAAGATCATCCACCCATGTCGTAAGAAGAAGTCGTGAACCGTTGTGTTCATATTTGTAGACCGTATTTAATCATGTCCAACTGCCTCTGAACCCAAGAATTTAAGCTCACGTGAAAATTTCTCAAAGGATCTGTGACGTCACAGGAGGAATTGGATGAACTTCTGCTTCCGATTCAGAATGCAATGAATGGATTGGGCTTGTGTTTGGCCCGGGCCCGCTGATACGAGAGTTTCCACTCGATCAACTCGGTAATTTTGGTGGTGAGTTTCATACTGTATGGGAAAAGAACAAGAGTGTGAATGTGGATGGCGAGTTGGTCGTTTTGCTTTTCCTGAATGCCAAATTTTGTTGGAGGAAGAGCGGGCAGATTCGAGATTATGTGGAGCAGTTGCAAAATTTGTCCAAGACGGTGTCGGATCAGTATGGTAGTCCCGTTGATGACGGTGATTCCGGCAATCCAGTGAGTGCTTCTGGCAAGAAGAAAAAGAAGGGGGTAAGCCGAAGGGATTCTGATGGCAAGGAGATGGATGCCGCGATGATTAACGCGTTATATGAAGACGTTGAATATTTTCTCCTGGAGCTTGGCCAATACTTTCGATCCTATCTGAAGCCATTATTTCCTGTTCCATGGGCTATGTCAGGAGGATTCAAGTCCAAGTTGGCTCCGATCAAAGCTCTGGCGTATATGATATGGGAAGTCAGAAAGCGCAGTGGGAATCTCAATGCCACTCCGGACAAAACGCGGATGGAGCTTCTGACGCTGGCAAAGTCGAAATTGCCTGACATATCTACCTTCCACAGCGTTATGGTCCAGATGAAGATTCTGCTTAACAAGTTGGAAGATGTAGCGGGAGAGGAATCAGTGAAAGCCTTGGAAATGATTTTGGTGGAGGAGCTGATCAGGCAATGTTATCTCTCAGATTGTGCCGATATTCGAGATGTCGCGCGCTTGAATAAGCGGTCCAAGTTGTCAACCGAATTGACTTGGGAGGAGGTGTACTCTTGGGCTGTAAATTTGAATGAGTTTGGCATTGATTCAACGATGTCGATGACTGATATTCAAGGAATGGCAATGCAAAGTATGGTAGGAGACGGTGACGGAAGGGTTGTCAATTTTTTGCTTGATTCTGGTGCAAATGTTACCATGGTTGGGGACGAATCCCTCCTCTCAGACGTACAATCGGGAGACGATTTCTTTGTCATGACGGCAGGAGGAAAGATTAATTGTAATTTCAACGAACCCAAGTATCGTACAGAACATTCTGAATCTCCAGTCATGAGTTCCAACTTTTTCTTCCAGTCCCAGTCCACTCTGTCTCAGGTGATTGTGCACATCGATCACAGATGCTCCGTTGAAATATGACTTGATCATGGCCGTTCTTGGCGTTGACAGTGTTTTTTTCTTCCCTGTTCCTGGCTGACCCTTCCGTCGATACCGAATTTTCAAATGGGGATCGGTTTCTTCTGTTGTATTCCATGTCGAAATGAGAAGTTTTCTTGGGGTATCAGGCCTGCCAGGTTCATTCCATGCATGCCCGAAAATGAACATTTCCCTGCCATTATGCTGCCATGAAGTTGATACGGTCTTCGTAGCACCTCTTACTGCACTAGCCTCCGATCGGTTTCTTCTGGTATTCACCGAATTTGCATTGCCATTCCTTGAATATCAGTCATCGACATCGTTGAATCAATGCCAAACTCATTCAAATTTACAGCCCAAGAGTACACCTCCTCCCAAGTCAATTCGGTTGACAACTTGGACCGCTTATTCAAGCGCGCGACATCTCGAATATCGGCACAATCTGAGAGATAACATTGCTTGATCAGCTCCTCCACCAAAATCATTTCCAAGGCTTTCACTGATTCCTCTCCCGCTACATCTTCCAACTTGTTAAGCAGGATCTTCATCTGGACCATAACGCTGTGGAAGGTAGATATGTCAGGCAATTTCGACTTTGCCAGCGTCAGAAGCTCCATCCGCGTTTTATCCGGAGTGGCATTGAGATTCCCACTGCGCTTTCTGACTTCCCATATCATATACGCCAGAGCTTTGATCGGAGCCAACTTGGACTTGAATCCTCCTGACATAGCCCATGGAACAGGAAATAATGGCTTCAGATAGGATCGAAAGTATTGGCCAAGCTCCAGGAGAAAATATTCAACGTCTTCATATAACGCGTTAATCACGCGGAATCTGGTCACATTCTTTACGCACATTCTTTACGCGGAATCTGCGTAAAGAATGTGACCCTGGTTGAAGTAAGGATTCATCAATCTGAGAACCCATGATGTATGCTTCGGATATTGATCAGTAAATTCTTGATTCTCCATCACTCGTTTGCCTTCTTGTAACTCCAGCTGCAACATAATTCCGTAGGTACACTCTGCAATGTTCTTGTACTCACTGCCAATACCTTGTGGTTTTCGGGCAATTTTTGTTAGAAATGGGATTCCATCATCAACGTCCTTCATACAAAGTCAGTCACACAAATTTCCAACACAATATGGTAGGATACCTCAGCAACTGGTATCCATTTACCCATGCTTTCATCCAAAATCAATTCAGATCCAGGACGAATTGTTTGCAATCTGTTCGCATTGAAAGCGTGTATAAGGGGTCGGATACAATTAAAAGCATTGTCTGTAATGTATGCATACGGAGGAGCGAATTTTATGTGCTTTCGCCATTGTTCGAATCGACAACGACTGACTCCAAAGCGCTTACCCAAATCAACAGGCGGACTGGCAGAGTCGTAATCGCTGCCCCATAAACTCCTTATTGGACCGTGTGGATGTAGAGTTCTCATGAACAGCACACCCATGAACTGAAGCCATTCATGTACAGTGAACGGTTTCACATTTGCTGGCAAAGAATTGTTCGTCCAGAGCAAACAACATCCAGTTTCGTCACAATCTCCGAAAAAATACTTCCACGGAAGCAGAAATTTCCAGCAATCAAATGGAGTTTTCTCGTCAAGGATCTGCAGAGCTGGTGTCCAGCGAATCACAGTTTTGCGCATTGCAAATCCACTTGACAGTCGTTGATCTTCTGCAACACCAGTCGGTGATAACTGCCAAACGAGGACATTTTCTCCAAAATTGCAATTGATGGTCATAGGCGAAGAGGAATCATTTTCATGGTTTGATTCCCCTTGCATAGGGACAGGGTCATGATGAGACACCACTACATCATTAGAGCCAGCGTCATCGGACGCGGCTACATCGCGGGCAGCGGAAACATTGGTAGAATTTTGCAAATTTGGCATTTCCCCAGGCAACAATGTGGATCGTAAGGTACTCTCCAAGACGCTAATTTTCATTCTTTCACCAGGCAAGTACCAATCAACCATCCATCTACCATTCCCACACTTCGCTATCACCTTTCCAGTTATCGCGACGGAGTTCCAATCGCATCTATGCATGCCCATGAGAATGCTCTTTGCAGGCCTGAAACGGCCAAACATCATGCCGTTCACTTTCAGGCCTTTCGTTAATTTGGCACTTAAATTTTTCGGTAGGGTCTTTTTTTTTTCTAGGCGTGCTATTTTGATAAACGAGTTAGAGACCCCACTTCATAGTACCCATTTGTTTTAGTTGATTTCAACAATCCTCTTTACAAGTTATTTTAACGGTAGTTACAGTACGGTACCGACACATACCCTATGGTACTACTTTCAGTACCAGTTGCAATCCTCAGTCCTTGCCTTGACGGACAATGGCGGCGCAATCGGGGCGGCCACCGTCGTCAAGGGCTGCCTCATCGCTCGGCATTGCCAAAAGGAGGAGATTGGAGCAAGAGAACAAGTTGATCCTCTTCATTCGCATGAGATACATCCAAGGGGCACCGTTGTTCCTTGCAGCAAATGCCTTCGATCATTCTGTGCACTTTGAATTACTACACCACGTTGAAGGTTTAGACATGTCATTCAATCTGGTACCATGTCATGGTGTGAGGTTTACTGATGTCAATGGGAAATTTCGAAGTGGAATCATCCGAAATTGGAAAGGAAGAATGTCAACTTCTTTAACACTAGAAAACAAACTGATTTCTTCCGTCTCAACATCGATCTGCACAAGATTAGGACTACGGTAGTATAGTTAACTGGTTTCGCAAACGTGGGAAGCCCTTCTTGAAACCCCGGATGAAAAGGCCAGTGCAGTTGGACCATCAGTACATCACTCTTACAGAATCCTGTCATTAACAGAGAATTTCCTGTGCCTTTCAAGGATGAACCCTACACGATAGAACCTGGATCAGGTTCGTTATATTTCAAGTTTCGAGGGCGCACTGACAGTCACCTTGAAACGAAATTGAAAACGAAATTAGAGGACGCAATACACATGCATCTCTTTCAAGTTCGAGAGAATGGTACGATTGTGCACGTTTCACACAGAGATTTGGAGGCATCCAGATTGAACGCGACTTTACTCAGACATTAATTTACTTTGAAGGAGCTGCCACAACAAAGTGAAGTGTGCTCGAACCGAATTGTTGAATTTCTTCTTGTCATCTGCATTTCGTGAAGGTCCATCAGTGACTACCGCACGGACAGTGCATATCCCACACATGGTCAAGTTGCCCGTTAGATGCAGTAGCAGCTTCCTTCTTTTCCGAGTCCAATGTAGCTGTTCCCGATCATGGCAGCAGCTCGATATGCATCTCTTCCCTGAAGTTGATGTTGATGCTCGATGCACGACATGTTCAATAGTCAGGCTAGTTGAATGCCATATTTCTCGTAGAAATGTACAAACTGATCGCCCACATGCCCTGACATCATGCCGCTGTGCAAATAGAAAGACTGCAGCAGTCTCGCTTGTCCGACTTGAAAGCAACTTGAAAGCAACACCCCTGACGTCTTCCTTCTCTTCAATTTCGAAATAGCTTCCTCCCAAAGAAGCTGTTTGTCTCTGTCAGGCACCAGCAGTTGAATGATAGAGGCAGGACGTCTTTGGCCGCCTGCTGCGGGAGCAGCCGTCCCGTCTCCTGCAGACCCTCCCGGTATCTGCAGGCATCGATGACAACAAGGAAACAGACTGAGAGTCACAGTGTAGTCCTCTACCTCCTCCTCGGTCTCCATCGTCCCTACCTCACAGGGGATCAGGTCGTCTTCTTTGGCCCTTCCTGCCTTCATCCCATGGCCAGCGTAGAAGAGGACGACTAGCCTCCTCAGCTCTTGGTGCCAGCCTAGTCGCATCCCTGATAGCGTTCTCCAGCTCCCACCCCGGCTGCACGTACTTGTCCGCTCTAGTATGCATAGGCCGAACACCAGGGGCGGCTCCAGGAACAGAATCTCCGACGAGTCCTGATGGAGAGGAGACTGCCAGGAAGCCCGTTCCTCCAGCGCACAGTGACGGGATGCTGTTGAGGAAGAAACGTCATGCGACATAAATGACTGGTGGATGCGCATAACAGTGAGTATTCATAACAGTGAGCATTGAGGGATTTCTCTGTGGATTCAAATATCCTCTGTGAGGAGATAAAAAGGGGGTAGGGTGGTGGAGGGGGGAACTTCTGTACCATGAAACCTCTCTTTTGTACCAATATGTCTTCATACAGTACAATCTATACTACCATGTACGTGATGGGTAAAACTAAAATTGCAGTACCTCTAAAACCAAGGCGGGGGAAGGGTTCCACGCCAGAGGAATTCAAATCACCCCACCCCGCTTATGTCCAGTCTCTCTGCCCCTCCTTTGATCGGTGAAAACAAGGGGTAGTCAACAGGGAGTGTATATACGGACCCCATGTGAACCCCAAAAAAAGTAGAAAAAAAAAGACCAGATTTGCTAGGGGCTGCATATGGGTTTGTGAACGGCATGCTTACTTTTCACAGTTATCTCCTGTCCTATCTCGACAACGGGTTGGTCGTTTGCAACGCGAATTTCAGCGTTGGAAAGTTCTTCCTCCCCTCTTCCTTCCCCTGCCATTTTCCCCGCCTTTATGCCCTTCCAAGGGGGCTGTATGAGGGCTCGAAAAAGGGACTCCCCGGGGAGTCCGGGATTCCCAGGGGAGGCCTTTGTCGATTAAAGGTTAACAGTTAGATGAAAACCGTTGAAAAACGGTTAACTGTTAACAGTTAAAATTTGTACCAGAGACCTAACTGTTAACAGTATACCGGACCCACCTAGTGCTTTCACAAATCGGGGGTAGGGTAGTCCCCGCTGTCCCCCACCCATCCCTATTTCAGGGAATTGAATTTTTCCCAGAGGCAAGTTGCCTCTGCACAAGTTGAGACACATGCCAGTGTGATCTTGCAATTTGACTTGGGATTTTGAACATTGAAACGTTGATTAATCATGTCAGGACCAAATCTATCAAATTCGTCATCCCCACCTTTGCAAGGAAGTTCCTGCAGACGAAGCAAGCAAACCATTACCCTGGATGATGAGGAATCGACTTGAGGTCAAGATTTAACGAAAGGGACTATCACGCCATCGCTGTTTGGTACAGTACTCACCATGATCATGGAATAACAGAGTTTATTTCATCCATATTGGCTAACTACGACATTCATCGATGCAGTTGCTGACAGTGTCTGTACTCCGGGACATGTTCCCGGTTCTCATGCGAGTTTCCTTTAAACCCTACAAACCCATTCTCTCCCCCTCCTGCGAAATCCCAAGCTGGAGGCAGGATCCCGGCGCGCATATGATACCTAACAAAGGCGATCCGGACTTTTACTCCTCATCTAAGCGTCGCGGGCAACGTAGACGAGTAAGACATCAGCCACCCGGGAAGGATGATCCGGCTCCGGAAGATCTCGATTACAGTGAGCTATACACCATACATGGCAATCGCAAGAAAACGTGTCAGGACTGTGGAAAGGTGGGGCATAACAACAGGTCATGCGAAACGGATCCTCACTCATCACAAGGTTCGCGAGAACAAGGCAACCGCGTAGATCCTGGGGTGGAGATTCCCAATGAAAACAACTTGGCAAGGTAAACGGCACACAACGCAGAATCATGACGATTGCCAAGAAGCCCAGCAAGAAGATTAAGCATATGCAATTGTTTGACAAGGGAACGAATGATGATGTGGTGAACGTGCGAGAGGAGTATGAATGCAAATATATGAGAGATGTATTCCTGGGAAACGATATGACCTTCATAGGGGGAAAGGTTATCAATCATGCTATCCCCAACCTGTCCGAAGCGACTATTCAGGATGTAAGCGATATGTCTAAATGTATCAGCTGCGACGTGGTGGAGAGTTGGCTGCATCTGGTCAAATGGAGTTCTGAATGCGTCCGGGACACTGTTGTAGCAGGCACATTAAGCATCGGAAAATTGACTTTGTCTCCACCTATTTCTATCCCAATCTGGAATTGCTACACACTACTGGTGCTGCATCCAACACCGTGACAGCGAGACGAAGATATGAAGAGCTTTTGCGTTATTGGAAACACATTAGCAGAGAAGAGATGGATACAGGTATATGTTTGATTCCCGTGTTTAAACCCGGACACTGGTGTTTGGCAATTGCCTACATGGGAGAAAGACGACTGGAGTAAGTGGGACTTGTACACCAACCACGAGTAACGAGCATTTGGGGATGCAGATTGTATGACCCCAAGGGGATGACCGGTATCGGCGTTTTGAACCAGATTGAAGGTAAGTGGAAGCTGACAACCAACGTGAAGCCACATGGCTGACGACAGGGTTGGCCTGTGTGAAACATACAGGCTTCTTGAAATATCTCCGCTACAAATGGCAGACAGACGATAGCTTAGAGGGTGCATACGAGAAGCGAGTTATGAGAGAAGGACAGGTTCACTTACGTTGCATATGACCAGGTGCAACGCTGATGGTGTATCGGCAGGTGCCAATTCAGGAAGATAGCACATCATGTGCAATATTTCTGTGTGTAATCGCCAACAATGTAGCTGCTGGAGAGGGCATCGACAACTTTGGACAGAAGGACATACCCATCATACGACAAGGAATAGCTAAGTTGCTGAGGGGGTTGTATGGGTATGGGAACTGGGATGAGGCAGACGGCAACGGTTCAAGAGGCTCCGATACTGGCAGTGGTAGGTTTCATCAAGCAAAAGCATCACACAGTGAACCCGCTGCTGCCACGGCCGAAGTCAGGGTGATGTCAGCTATAGAGATAATGTGAACCAAGTGTTGATTACTATTGAATACGTGAATAGTACAGTATGAACGAGAATGACTCAATGTACGTACTGTAGGTGGGACTCCCATGAATTGCCGTAAGACCAGGCTGCGACAGGAGGCTAGTGCCACTGCCACGGAACTTCCGTACCCTTCCCGGTGACGGTTGTCGGGGACAAGCCGCTCAGCAGCCGCAACCGCGGCAGCTACGAGACCGGCAGCCGCTCACCCTCCGACTCCGACTGACGGTTCCGAAGTTCATCGGATGAAGATGCTGCCGATGAGTCTCCGAAGGCGCGGCGCCGCCCCTGTGACGGCGACCAGGGAACTTGCCGGCGGGGCCCCCCGGGGCCGGCCAAGCCGGGCAGACTCTCTTGCCGGACTCCGGGAGTCCCCCTTCACCAGGCCCGGCCCGGGCCTGGTGAACTTCCGAAGGGCCTGCCAGCCAGTGCGGCCGGGCAAGTTAGACTTGTATGGAGGAACACGGACTCGTGTGAAACCGAAGCATCCAGACATGAGAAGTCCGCGTCACATAGTAAGGGGCGTCGGAGTATGGTCGGAAGAGTTTTGTCACTGAACTGGACTCAGCGGCTATCCGGGCCGGCGTGACATGCACCATTCTGGGGCTTTCTCTGGAAGTTGGGGTCTTGGGGGTAGTGTATGGGAAATGGGGGGTCATGTTTCTGGTTTCACCGAAGTTTCAAATTTCATATTGAGAAATGGAGCTTGTTTTGAAATACTCTCGTAAAAGTATTTTTCACATGTTTCCTTAACGTTTATCAGGTACAATTTGTCGTAACTTACAATATTATAATTTGAACAGACTTGCTCGCTTCCTTCCCCGCCCCTCCGCATTCTCCTTCCTTCCCTTCTTCCTCCTCCTTCCTTCCATCCTTCCGAATATATTCCGAGACCCCCTGCTTTCATCCTTGCTACTACGAACTTAAGTTCCCCTCCTCCTCTAGCTCTGAATCCAATCAATATGCCAAGAATCCGCAGGACGGCAGCAGAGCGAGCAGATGCAAGCAGAAGGTTCAGTGACAATAGGGAAAGGCGAGTCCAACTTAACGAGAAGCCTGGAAATGTTCCAACTATTGTTCAAATCCCGCTTCTTCTATCAGCCTCTATACCTCCAGCTCAAGAGAACACTCTTCAATTTCATATGGAATCTTGGAACTGTGACATTATGCTTAAGCCATTTCTTGGTGTCGCTTTTTTTGATGTCGATAGAAAAGAACGATTTGGGATGATTACGCATATCATTGGTGATTCGTTGAAAGTTTTCCTTCTGTACAATAAGTCAACCATTCAAGAAGTTTTTGAAAAGCTTTCAATGAACAATGAGATGAGAAACACAAATTTTCTTGACGGGATGTCACCGCACGAGTGTTTTCAAAGCACTTACACGGATGTAGTTCCAATATCCGATGTTTTCAGAGTTTTCAATGTGACGTATCCATGTATTTCTTTGACGCTTGGGCCGCCATCGATACAGCGTGTTTGTGTGGTAGGATGGATCTTCTTCGAGACTGTCCAGAGGAAGGAGCGTTGTCACATTCAATACTTTAAGAGCTTTCGCTTATCTTCAACCATGCTCAACTCGTACTTTGATAATTTTGCATCAGCTTATGACTTTTTCAAAGTTACCAATGTCCTCGGTGTGTTACGCGAGGAACTGCACAAGTGGTTGGACAAAAGAGGATCGACTACCTGGAACCCAAGGAAGGCAAAGCGCCTCGCATTCGATGCTCCTATACAAGATTTCAGCGCTATACTGTTCTTCTTGAAGCACTTTTCGATGGAAACGTCAAAAGTAACGTGTTCAGGTCTTTCGACGCGCTCGCAGTGTACATGGACTCTAGATTCAAACTTGCTCTGTACACCTCTGTTCAAACAAGAACTGAATATTCCCTTGAAAGAAAACCCTTATTTCCTTGGACCAGCTCGAGGATGCATTTATCTTGAAGGACCTCTACATATCATGTTGCCAATGAAACTTTCTCGACACAGATCCTCAACATCACAGACAACCATCACGTTCAGATTCTCCAAGATTGTGAGATTAGGATTCACAAACAAACTCATGTGGTCATATCCTCGGCCAAAGACACAATCAGAACATTAAATTTCATTCAATAAATTCAAGAATCGTCTATTTACAGGTCATTCATATCCTCATCATCGAATAATTCTGCTACTGCACTTTGCAAGTCCTGCATCACCACCGCATCCCCCTGATCCTTTTCGTCACACCCCTCAAACGAGTGCAGTAGAAGGTTGAACAGTGTGTAAAATGCACGCGCTCCTTTGGAGTCTTCCTTGGATGTGTCAGGTTGCAAAATGCTAGTGCTCTTGCCACTTGTAAACAAGTTAATCTCCGGAATAGCTTTCTTAAAACATCTTCTTCCAAGTGTTTCATGACGTTTTTCGATCGCCGACAAGCTAAGCAATCCAAGAGGAATCCCATATTCCTTGTACAGATATTCGAATTGCTCGCCGATGTGCCCGATCATCATACTGTGGAAGTAAAAACTTTGCAGTCGTTTTGCATCTCCTACCAAGTTGATCATCTTCACACAAAAGCTTCTGATTTGTGTCGGCAGTTCCTCTGCATCTGATTTCGAAATTTTATCGTAGTGCTGGCAAGATAGTACGTCGTGCACATGTGTCCATTGATCCATCGCTACTTTCCATTGTTCACGTGTATCCTCATCGGGTACCAGCAAGGCAATAAGGTCAGGGAAAGCTTTCAAGAATCGTTTGCACATCTTGCCATTCAGCTGTCTTTGTTGATCTTTCGCCTTCATCTCCATGTTGACATGAAACGATTGGAGAATTCTGTTCACAGCTGACACTTGCGACTGATTCGCTGCCAGCTCATAAATGTAGTTGACCAACAAGTTCACGAAGCGGAGCTTCATATGCAACATGCAGTAAATGAAGTTAATTGTCCTGAGATTGGCATCTTTCAAACGAGAGCACTCTCTCAAAATCTGACAAAAATGGAGGCAAGGCAACACTACACCATCTGGGATCAAGCTGTCTGGGTGTTGGAAACAAGTTCTCAACGCTTCCTGGTTCCATGGTTCAAAGAATGTTTGGAATACATCTTCTCCAACGTCTGCAGGATCCATGAATCCAGATTGTGTCATATCTGAGGTTTCAGCCAGACAATTGAGCATCTTATTCAGGAGTTCAATGTCAGATGGAAGCAGTTTATATCGTTTGCAAAATTGTCGAAGTGTGATTGATTCCTCCTCTTTCTTCTGCTTAAGAACGATGAACCTGCCCGCCTTTTTTGCTTCTTTAGTCTCATCACAGTGAATGCAAAACTTGCCGGAGGCATCACTCACACCTCCAAACTCAAGCAATCCATAATGACCTGCAAGATCTGCCCTGAACATGACCTCTACGTCAATGACATCGTCACCAATCCGCAAACCATTCTGCATCAAGTCCAAGATCTTTGGCTCGTAGGGCTCCCAGAAATTAAACCTCATGTTCTTGGCGTTATCGCCGACTGGCAGAATCATGAGAGTTGCAGCATCGAATGCTGATCTGATGCATGCTTCAATTTCATTCCATTCATCTGGGTCACATTCATCTCTTGGGATGATAATAGTATACGTAATTTCAGTATGTTTTGTATCACATCCACTAGATTTTGCAAGAACAGTGGCATCGGTGTTGAAAATGACAATGATGCGTTTCTTCTTGTGAAATCCCTTCTTTTTCACTTGCATTTTCAGCGATGACAATAGATCCGTTCCGTAACTTCCTTGGTCAGTCTTGAAGGCTTTCAATGCATCTTTCAACCACCTTTTCTTCATAACTCTAGCTCGTCCAATTTTTTTCATTGATACAACCAATCTTTTTGTACGTCCGAGCGTCCTGTATAACACGTTGTATGATTGTTTAGACAGGTTGGCCTTCAATAGAAGACAACCTGCCTCATGAACATCTGGAAGGAAAGCACTGGCAATGTATTTCAATTTCCTTTGTACATGAAGATTGGTCCTTATCTGTGTAGTTATGCAGTCTCTGAACATTCTATTCTTGACAAGCCCAACCATTATTTTCTCGGGGGAATACTTGTTCGTTTTCGTACTTCTCCCCTTGAAGGTTTTCGACCCACTACCATTGTTTCCAGCATTTTCTTTGTTTCCATTGACACAGTCGTTTTCTTTTTCTGCATTATCATGGAGGATTTCAGAAGACCCATTGCCACTTAAATTCTGACAGTTTCTGGTGACATTTTCATCAGCACGATTGCAACTGTCATTTTGAGGAGCACCATTTTCAGGGGTACCATTGCAATCAAGGTTTACCTTTGCCGCCTTTGCCTCCTCCAATAACGTGTCAACGTCGATAAAGAGGTAAGCTAAAAATTTCAAATGCTCCTCATGCGTTTTACCTAATAAGTCGAATATGGATACAACGATTTGCATAAGAAGGTCAAGCACGGGAGAGGCATACTCTTGAAACTTCTTTATGAATTGCAGGCGAGCTTCAAGGTCGGTGATCTCGCTGAAAAACTTGGGATTCAAATCTGCTGGCAAGTTCAAAATTGCCCTGACCTCTTCCCATACATCATGGAACGAAGGATTCACAAGAGGAATCGATTTTGTACCATCTTTACCCAACCCTTTCAAGAAAGAAGTAACATCTGGCTCACCACAACGCTTGCTCCTCCTCCCAAAAACGCATTTCGCTTTCGATGCAAGCGTCTCAATGTAATCTAGAGAAGATCCAGAAAGTTTTATAGAATGTGATGTTCTGCGTTTCTTGAGAGAGGGTTCTTTTGCATGAATTGGTAGAAACATCTCTGTAATCGGATCTTAAAGATTCAAATGTAGGATCAAGATTTGAACCAAAGTTCGTAACAAGGCCTGGCAGTGTGACCGCGGCGGCAAGAGGAAAGATTTATATAGCGGGAGCCCCTGACCACCGGTGATATACTTTTGGCCATCAAAGAGGGGGTGGAGAGCATCTACAGACTACCCCTACCACATACTGAAACATAAATCCGTATAGATGTGGACCGGTACATAAGCTCTTCTTGGTACAAAAATTTGAATATGGGCCTATAGGGGTGGTATACTTTTTGAGGTAAAATGTGGGGTAGGGTACTAAAAGTACCCCCACCTCCCAGTGAGATCATACTTCTGCATAGCAAAGCACCGGTGTACAAGCTCTCTTTGGTACAAAAATTTGAACCTAGCCCTATACGGGTGGTATGGGTCGACAGTCGATAAAGGGGGTAGATATACAGCAGATAACCCTACCTTCATGACGCCATAAGATCGAAGGCATTGACACCGGTGTCAATCACAGGTACAAACACTGCTACGGAGGATTTGTATTAAAATACACTAATCTTAAAAGTATGTTTCGACAGCAACCTGAAATTGCGATGTACCCTCACCCCTAAAAATACCGATGAGTACCCCTATAAAAGGTAGGGGTCAGTATCCACCCGTCTCCTGAAACGCAGAATGCAAATATCGTCGATTTGTTAATGATTGACTTCCACAAAAGACCCCAGAATGCACGCCGCTCGGCAGGCATGCCGAGTCATCCATCAGCAAACCGCCTCCGAGGGCCTGTGGAAACGGCGTCCAACTGCTCGGGAATCGGGCCCGCACGGCCGGCCCGAGTCAGAGAGTCCGGAGTCCGGGCCCGATCGGATAGCCAGGTCGCCGGGCCGGGTGCCGGGCCGGGGCGCCGCTGGTCACCCGGGTTCCACTGAGACTGAACTTCCGAAAGTTGACCGGAAACGTGACTTGATTTCGCATACCCGTTCATGTGAGGGGAATATGCCGGGTACTGTAACAGCCAGCAATTTGTACCATTACCGTCATATAATAGTATACAATATATATAAAAGTTTTAAATTTCATGTAGGACCCCTCGAAATCACGGGTCCCACATGTATTTAGACTGGTACCCTCATATAATGTTTTAAACTTATTTGTCGAGCTATTCAGGTAGGGGTACTTTGCACTGTTGTATGAGGGGCAAGGGTAGGGTGATTTTCTTAGCCGAATCTTTTCATTTTTTTGAAATTCTGTTCTAGTGAAATTTACTGCCCATGGAGGAAGGGAGGAGAGGAGAGGAGAGGAGAGGAGACGAGAGGAGAGGAGAAATCATGCTGGTGAAGATGGAAGGGAAGCAATCATGGTATGTCACACGTGCAGACCAGGAGGAGCAAGGCAAGGCCCTGAGAAAAGCTGAGACATTTTTGGTTTCAACTTCCAACCTTCACCTGAGTTTCGAATCACGGAATTCGTGATCGGCTGGCAATCGTCGCTGCGGCCCAATCGGAGCCTCCCCTCCGGCTAGATCTGTCGCCATGCCGCAAGAAGAGTGGCGAAGAATCTCCAAGTCAGAACTCGATGCTCTGGAGCGCGATGCCCGTATGGCCATGAGGTGGGCGGAGGAGGTAAAGAGGCTCCAACGGGAGGTCCAACGCCTTCGGTCGGTCGGCGTCTTGCCCAGCCCGATCGCCTTCAAGGGTAAGCGCAATGATCGTGAAGACCTGAAGGAGGGAGGAGGGAGAGCGTTTCAGCTCAAGAGCATAGAGAGGCGAGCTTACGAGGAAGCTATCAAGGAGCTGACCAAGACCAATGACTTCTTGCTGAGGGAGGTCAAGGTCCTGCAGGGGAAGCTGTCTGAGACGCCCAGTCAGAGTAATGCTCTCTCCGAGACCGGGAGATCGATGATGCTGTCCTTGCGGAACCTCACGAGCATGCGGGTCCAACAGTCGCCGACGTTGATGGAGGGGGGCGATGCGCTCAGGGATGCGGAGGAGATGAAGGGTAGGGCGAGGAAGGACTGGCTCGCGTCCAAGAGGTTCGGGAAGCAGGCGCTCTCAAGGGCGCAGGGGGATGCTGGTGTGCCTGCCGTGGGGAAGAAGGCTGCGTCGGTGCAGACAGAAGAGCATCTGATGGTGGATGAGGAGCTGGAGGGGACTTTGGAAGCGATGTTTCAGAGGGAAAGAGCGCTAAAGCAGGATCTGCTAGACAAGAACTATGAGCTGACGCTGGAGATAGAGAAGAACAAGGTGGTCCAGGAATTCTGCATCAACCTACAGGACTCCATCGACGACCTTGAGTTCAAGCTGTCCGTCCTGAACGCAGACCTCTTGAAGCGAATGGAGGAGAACAAGTCATTGGAGAACGAGCTGTCGGCGCTGAGGGACAGGCAGAAAGCTCAAGTCATCATGGAGAAAGACATCGAGGAGAAGGAGTCGAGGATCAGGGAGTTGCTCCGTGACGTAGAGCACCTGGAGGACGAGAACATGGAACTGACATATCAGTCGCTGGAGGCGATATGGAAAGGTTCAATCTCCAGTGTGAACCCGGTGTACTTTGCGGACCCACAGCCGACAAAGTTGGAAAGGATTCTTGCAAAGGCCAAGGGCACCAAGGAGCCACCGGGAGGCGGGAAGCAAGGGAGCGCGGGGCAGGAGGACGTGCAGGCAGAGCTGATGGAGGCTGTTCTGAAGGGATTCCAGAGCGTCGCTTCCTTCCTGTCGTGGGCCGAGAAGTTCTCATTCGTCGAGCAAGGGATGAAGCTGATTAGCCTGCGGGCCATGATCGCTGAGTTCTGCAAGCTTGAGGGCACAGCGGGGATGGAGGAGGCGAGAGCGGCTGCACTGTTCAGGTCCATCGGACTGAGCGCGGACAGTGACGTGATCATGGACGTGTTCTGCCGGCTGGTCAGCAGCTCGGTCAAGGGTTCTCCTCGCCCTCCAGTGAAGCAAGGAGGGAGGTCAGACAGACCGAGCTTGCAGGAGGACATCAGGGAGGAGATCGAGGAGGACCTGGAGGATACAGAACTTGCTGAGGAGCAGCTGGGAGAGTCCCACCTCTCTGGGTCGATCGACCACGATGACAGTGTCGGTGCTCTGTGGAGCCTGGTGAGTGTTGGGGACTCTAAGGACACCTTTGCTCGGAACCGCGTGTCGTCGGTCGACATGAGCTCTATGAAGCACTTACTGGATGAGAGGACTTTGGCCCTTCTGAAGGACCAGGGGCGCTCCTGGCTGGTCCAAAAGCTGCAGAACATCTACAAGCTGGCTAAGGCGGGGAGGTTCCCCAACCGGTGGGCCTTCTTCGACATAGTGACGACGAGTATCATCCTCCCGTTCGAATCGGAGGTGAACCAACTCAAGTTTGCTCTGAAGAAGCAGGAGGAGCTGTTCGCCGAGGTAAGAGCAGGAGCGACTTCAAGGCTTACTTGTGCGCAGCGGGTGAGGAAGGAGCTCTGCAACATTGCGAGCAAGCTCGAGCAATTCAAGGTAGGCTGGCAGACGGGTTGTGCCTCCTGCGTGACGGCCTGTAGGACGAGAGGAACAGGTTGGAGCTGGAGCGAGACAAGCTCAAGTCCGAGCTCCGCGCGGCGAGCGATGCTGTGGAGAGGATGAGCATTGAGCACAAGAAGGTGAGCGGTGTCGTGCGGCTCCTGAGCATGAGCGCCATCGATCGCTTCGTCTTCCTAGGAGGGAATCGGAGGTGAGGAGAGCGCTTCCTAACGTACGCGGAGGGATGAAGGGTTGCCTGCAGGGTCAAGGTGGCCGACACGCTGGAGGCAGCCAAACCCAACGTGATCTTGGAGCTGCAGGATGAGACGAAGCGGCTCCAAACTGACTGCAGGGCTTACAAGTGCTGCTACCGCCTCCTCCTGGAGGTCTGGCACAGCATTCCCGGGAGCGAGCAGGTGAGGCTGATGGAGGAGCTGTCCTACCTCCGGGTGCAGCACGTGCAAGTCATGGAGGGAGCGTATCTGGAGATGGACAGGAGGATGATAGACCGGGTCCTTCAAGCGAGCTATGGCAGCACGGGAGGGGTCTCCGATGCCGTGGACGTCACGGACACCATCGTATCGCTCGTGAGGGAAGGGGGGATAGAGACCTGCCTCGTCGACGATGCGCTCTTCAAGATCAAGAGCAAGAGGGGGACTCGCCAGGAGGAGGACGCTCCTCCTCCTCCTCCTGCTCCTCGGAAATGTCTCATCATAGCGTACATACAAGCTGACAACCAGCTGCTTGCAAGCGAGGAAGTCCCCATCCGCACCCACCCTGACGAGCTCGTAGCCGACGCGCTGCATGGCATATCGGAGATGCTGCTAAGGTGGGGGGTAACGGTTGACGAGCTCATGGACGAGGTCAGGAGCTCCCACGACCCGCCGCTGTCGCGGGACTTGAAACTGATCAGCTGGGAGAAATTCTTCGAGGTCATGCAGAGGATGCCGGTGGAGATTGGGGGGGAGCAGGAGTTCAAGCGCATCCTCAGCAACAGTCAGCTCATCGTGGACTCCAACAAGGTCCACCTCTCTGTCCTCCAGAGCCGCCTTGAGACGCACTACTGGTTCCTCGCCGCTCGCAGCCGGACGGGAGGAGGGGAGGGAGGAGGAGGAAGGAACTTGGGCCTGCAGGAAGAGGTTGGGCGGCACCACCTGGACCTGCAGTCCTCCCGCCGTGACAACTTGATCGATGCGAGATCACGGCAGGACAGGATGGAGAACAGAGTTTGCTTGCAGGCACTTTTCATTCAATCCTTGCAGATCCTGCTGGGGATAGAGAAGGAGCGCAGCAAGGCAGCACGTGCGGCAGCCGCTATTGCGACAGGGTAGGAGGTTACTGCGATGATACTGCTTCTCCACTCTGTTTCCTCCCTGTGCAGAGGAGCGTGAGGGGGAGGAGGATGGGAAATCCTTCTCTGCTCATTTCTTGCGAGATTGAAAGCACGAGTCGAAGGGGCCTGGAGCATTTGCGGTCAGACGGTTCAAGTGAGGCAAGCAGCATCGAAGAGCAGCCACCAGGAACGTCTTGCTCCAGCCAATCTTTGTCGTGGTTCTTGACCTGCCCCAGCTTACCTTCCTCTTCTTCCTCCTCTCAGCGCATGCAGCGCACACAAGTTACCTCCCAGGGCCACATGTGATGCCCAGCTCGCCGGGAGTTGTCTAAGAGGAGTCTTCAGCAAGCTCAGGGTGGTCAGCACACGAACCTTTCTGTACGATCCTCTCCTTCTTGTAATCTATGGCATGATCGATCTTGCAACCAAGTCAGCGTAAGTTCGAGCGGATCGCCCTTTGACCATGTTCTCCTTGGTACGCTGATACATGCTCGGAGGCTTCGGCTTGCCTGCACGCGCCACGTGACTCAGCGTGGAGACTCAAGTCAAGGGCTCACACCGAAGACATAGTCGACGGGATTGGATAGAAAGTCATCTGATTTTGCCTTCTCCTCCTGATAGTCTCAAGCTGAGCTAGTCTGCCAACAACCTCTCGCTCCACCTTCTTCTTGTTCCCAAACATGCTGAACCCGCTCTGCTTCGGCTCCTCGCTCTTCTTCGCTGGCTGCCTCACGAGAGGTCAGGCCTGACGCCCCTCGACCCTTCGCACGCCCCAACCTCTTGCTTGTGCCCCCAGAAATGCGAGTGACCTGCTCGAGCATCACAACGAGGTACGGGGACCACAAACTTGTTTGCCACCTCCTCCCTGCTTCTTCTCCTCGTCCTTGGCAGTGAGTTTCGCGTACAGCGCGTCGGCCTGCATCGTGGCATCACACGACAAGCGGGGAAGGCATTCGCTAGCGGTGCCCTGCCTCTGCTATGTTCTTCTCATCCTCTGCCTTCCTCGCAGCGAAGTAAGCATCGATCTCCTCCTGCGCCGCCGTGAGACGAGGCCGATGCTCGACCGCAGGACCTGAGAAGCCTTCTCCTCCTTGTGATGGACCATGTTCTCGTTGATCTTCATCTGCCCCTGAACCATCCTATCGTAGATGTCCTTCCCCGACATCTCGTTTCTGTTGTGGTTCACACCCTGGAACCCATGGTGCTCCTGCTGGAGCACATGCTCGTTCCCGACTTCTCGGACGAGAGTGCAGTCCAAGTTGATCGAAGTCTTCTTGGCTGCAACGAAGCGCCTGCGGGGTAGCCATGCACTACCGTCAGCTCCCTTCGCTCGGGGAGGGGGTGATGAGGTATTCATGAGGTACAGGATGCAAGATACCTCAGTTTCAGCCGCACCATCGATCCTGATTCTCCTTTAAGGAGACTGGAAGCTTGTGCAACCTCCTTCACCTGCCACCGACATCCTCACATCCCATCCTCTTCCCGACCTCAAGAGCTCTACCTCCTGCGAGTCGATCTTGACGATCTCGTCTCCTACTTGCACCATGCCAGAGGTTGCCGCGGTCCCTGGAAGCTCACACTCAGCGCTTTCCATCACACTGCAGCTGCAAGACCTCTTGGCAACATCTTGGTAACCACAACCCTCCTGTTGGAGTCGTATCCTAAGATGGCCCCGATTCCCGCCACCTGGCCCTCTGACATCTGAGGAAACGTCAGAGCACGGGGAGCACGATCGACAAACTGATCAGCTTGTTTGTCCATAGATCATCTACTCTACACCCCTGGGATTGCTTCCATATGATCGAGTTGGTCACTGCGAACCCCCCACCCCCATTCTAATCCTCTGGCCTGTTCGCTTCTGGATGCTCCATAGCATCTTCCTCAGTCACTCCTTCTCGTCTGCTTCCTCCTCTTCCTTCCTCCTCCTCTCTTCAATCACCTCCTCCTCCTCCTCCTCCTCCTCCTCCTCCTCCTCCTCATCGGTTCCTCCTCCTCCTCCTCCTCCTCCTCTCCTCCTCCTCCTCCTCCTCCTCCTCCTCCTCTCAAGTTTCCGGCTCTTCACTTTTATGGCATCGCAAAGTACCGAACGATCCACCCCCAAAACCACCCCCGTCCCTTCCTTCTATCCACCCACCCCATCACTCTTATCCAAAAACCAATTTTGGAGAGGGTGGTGCAGTAAACACAGGGGTGGTTCATGGGGGGGTTATGTTGAGGCTAAAATTGTGGCATAAGAACGGGTTTGAAATGATACCAAGAACCAAGTTGGGGGTAGGGGTCATCTTGTTGACGGTGGGGTAGTGCCAGTCGTTGAAATGCATGTCAAAGCGAACTTAGCAAGCCTTGAATGGAAGGGGAGAGGAGGGGAGGAGAGGAGAGAGCAGGAGGAAGCAGGAGAGGGGATCAGATGGGATAGGATGAGAAGAAAGCTGAGAGGAAGGAGAGGAGAAGAAAGAAACTAGAGTGGGAACTTGAAGTAACAGAGGAACAGTGTGAACTACTGGTGGCGGGAAATGACGAGGGGATACTGACTTGCATGTGCTATCTAGATTGAGCTGTTTTTCGTCGTCAGTACATGTTCATGTCGAAATCATAGAGCACAACATTCTCTCGATGATATGTGACACAATGGGACAACAAATGAGCTGACTACCATCTAAAGTCCCTCAAACGAGCCTCCGCTATGAAGCACAGGGTTTATGGTATCGGGCTGCTCCTCTGCAGTCTTAGTAGTATCATCGAGGCTCAGAGCAACTTCGTCAGTCTGGCCTCGAGCTGCAACAATACAGATGGCTCCAAAGTGACTGCAGCATCCATCTCCGCAAGCGGACTCTGCGGAGTTCGCTTCTACTCCCAGAGTTCTTACGCTGGAGCTTCATCCACCGTCTACCTAGGGTTTGCTGTAAACTTCGCTGTCCCGCAGTCAGCACAGCTCAGAGTGGTTGTGCCCTCGTCGAGCGCGTACCAGCTCGGAGCTGGTGGGACAAGCTCGGTGGTCGGGCTGACGACGAGTGGAGGGGACATAGGCGACGTCCCGCTGCACGGGACAGGATCTCCGACTTTGACAGCGATCACGGGAGGGTTCCAGGTGGTGCTGGGAGCGAACAGGACAGCGACGGTCCTTGACTCCAAGGCAGGGTTCGAGATGCTGGTGACAAACGTCAGGAACCCATGGAAGAACCTGGGAGACTCGGCGACGGTCAGCCTGTGGTCCAACGGCACTGAGTTTTTCTCTGTGGCAGTGCCTTTGGTTCAGTTTGCTCCTTACACGATGACAAACGCCAACGTCTCTATCGGCCTCTCCAACAACGACGCGATGGTGGTGACGGACGTTGTGGTTACGCTGTCTACCAGCGGTTTCCTGCCTCCCGACGGGAAGTTAGAGTTCCACTTTCCCGAGGGGTTCAGGGTGCAGAAGGGAGTCACGAAGGCTCTGAACCAGAACAAGTTCTCGGAAGGTCAGGCCGTCTTCGTGTCACTAGTAGACGAGACCTCCAACGTCGTCACGCTGAAGGTAGCTCCCAACCTGGGCTATATCAACACGGGTCTTTCTGCCCTACAAGGCGCCTCCTTCCTCCTCACAAGTATCAGAAACCCGTTTGCTGGGACCACCTCGACCTTCATGGTGCGGACGATGACTGGTGACGGCACCCTCATCGATTCTGGCAACATTTCCGGCGTGTTTGTCAAGGGAGGCTCGCTGACATGCAAGGTGAAGGTGCCGGGGCTTCATGACCGGTTGCTCACTGCCTTGTCCTCCAGGTTTCCTCCGGCTCGGACCGCGCACGGCAACTGGCAACGTACGAGTTCGAGATCCGGACTGTCGGGACGATCCCCAGGGACGGCAAGTTTGTGATCATTTTTCCGTTCGGGTTCTACCTCGCCCATCCCGTCCTCATCTCTGCCACTGGCTTCGGGGTCAGCTACCTCCCTCGCACGGAACTTTCTCAGACAGGATACACATCTGCCTCGACAACCTCAACCTGACGTCTGACATCCTGGGAAACTTAGGTGACTACCTCCTCCTCCTCTTTGTGCTCCACCTCCTCGTGCTCCAACTCCATTTTATCCCTTTCCACTCTCTCCCCGTTTAGTTCCTCACGCTCTTTCCTCCTCCTTCCAGGGACCTTCACCTTTGGAGTGAGCGGAATCGTCAACCCGGGGGCGGGGTCTACAAACTCCTTCACCATCCGCACGACGTTCTTTGATCCAACCCGCATCATCGACGACTCATCAGTGCCAGGTAACGACTGCAGGCTATCCTGCTACTCTCCCTCCCTTTCCCCCCATCCCTTCCTTCCCCTTCTTCCCTTCTCTCTCGTTCGATTTCCTCCTCCCTCCCTCCGTTCTCTCCCCTCCTCTCCCATCCTGCTCTTTCCTGCCCGTCTTTCTCTCATGCCTCCCTGACTCTGTCGCATCATGACGTACGACTCAGGCGTCTCAATCACGACGTCGGTCTTCCCCACAAGGGGCATTACCTACTCCAACCTTCTCTCAGGCCAGCAGCTTCTTATCTCGGTCAACTTCTCAACAGTCGGCTACGTCCCGGACAACGCCATCATCCATGTCGGCATGCCTGACGGTTTCGGTATCAACCTCCCGACTTCCTCCTACATTTTCTCCTCCACCTGCTGCGACGGTCCCACCTGCTTCACCTGCAACATTACCCTGTACATGGTGCAAGGACAGGACCTCTACCTCAGGCTCTTCGGGTCGGGCGCCACCAACCTCCCCGAGGGTCTCCGGATCTCCTTCACCTTGGCCAACGTCAGAAACCTTTGGGCTGGCCCCAAGAACGGCATCGACATCGCCCTCCTGCTCTCCGACCAGATCTCCATCATTAGCCAGGCCATTGACGTTGACAGCACCTCCATCCTCCCGGGCAGTTTCAACCCCTCCCTCCTCCTCCAGTTCTTCCGCGGGAGCGACTCTTCGCTCCTCGAACCTCCAGCTGCCGGAGTCTGCGGCTTCTACAGAGCCCGCATCAACATCAGCGGGACGCTTCCTCCCAAGGCCGTGATCGAGCTCCGCTTCCCTCCTGGTGTTCAGGTCAACGACCTCGATTGCTCCGCCACCCCCTCCTCGCCCTCCTCCGTCTCTCAGGTCAGAGCAATCCGCCCGGCGAGCATGGGGCTTCTCAGCTCCGACACGGCGAGCAGACGGGTTGTCTTCCAGATCCTCCAGAACGTCTGGAGTGACAGCTGGGCTGAGCCGAACGTGCTGGAGTTTGACATCCTCAACGTCAGGCACATAGCTGGGGGTCTGCTGGACAACTTCTCCATTATCGCCTACAGGGAGGACGGGGCATCGGTGGTGGAGCAGAATCTGACGATACCGGGCAAGAACGTCACCGTTAACTCCTTCGCCTCCATCTCCATCACCCCGCAGGACCCTTCAGCTGGGGTCCGCTCCCAGCTGACCTTCTCCTTCCAGTCCCCTGCGGTCATGCCCTCCTCGTTCCTCCTCGAGCTTCAGATCCCCGGCTCGTTCCTCATGGACGATGGGGATCTGACGCAGATCCTCTCCCCGACGGTCGGAGGAGGGAGCAGAAGCATGGCCATCCTGTCCAAGAACGTCGGCAATGGAACAATGTCCATCCTTGTCCAGGGATCGACCGGCCTCGTCGGCGGCATCGCCTCCTCCTCCGCTTCCTGCTCCCCTGCTGGGCAAAGTTGCGTCCGGACCCCCACCAGCTTCCCAGCTGAGCTCCTGATCCCCTCGGGGACTCAGTTCTCCTTCGTGCTTGACAACATCCGCAACCTTGCCGGAGGTTTCTCCGGCATCTTCACCATGATCGCCAGAGAAAATGCGCAGAGCCCGGCGATAGCGCAGAAGCTGGATGTTGGCGGGCCCGTCCTGGTGGTGGGACAGCTGAAGGACGCGCAAGGTAAGGAGTGGAGGATGCAAGATGAGACGAGGAGGACAGGGAGGTGAAAGAAGGGGAGAGAAGGCAACTTTGATCGGATGGAAGGAGGGGAGAGGGCAGGGCAGGGCAGGGCAGGGCAGGGCAGGGCAGGGCAGGGCAGGGCAGGGCAGGGCAGAGCAGGGCAGGGCAGGGCAGGGCAGGGCAGGGCAGGGCAGGGCAGGGCAGGGCAGGGCAGGGCAGGGCAGGGCAGAGCTGTTTCAGGGCGTTTGACTTGCTGCTGCAGTGACTCTCAAGGATCTTGGGTCGAGCATGATCACCACAGCAAACGTCACGCTCGTCATCAACAACACCTTCGCTCTCATAGGAGCCGTCAGGGTCGTGCTCCCCCCCGGCTTCCTGATTAGCGCAGGCGGCACGACTTCCGTCTCCTCCCCCTCCATCACCCGGCTGTCCCTTACGTACCCGACGACTGCCGTGATCCTCTCCCTTGACCAGGGGGCGAGGATGGTGGAAGTGAGGCTCAGCAGCCCGGGGATCGAGTTCCTCTCCTCCTCCGACGTCATTCAGTTCTTCCTCTCCCATATCCAGAACTCTATCGCTCGCCCCGCAGCAGCAGGAGGAGGCTACCAGGTCACCAGCACCTTCCTCGTCCTGACCCTCCTTAGCAGCGGCGAGCTGGTCGAGACAAGGAACGCGCCAGGAGCGCTCATCGTCCCCAACACCATCAGCTCGTTCCCAGCTGGAGCAGGAAGGTTGTTCCCAGCGAGTCTCGTCCCTGGCTACCTCGGCCTCCTCTTCCTCCAATTCTCACTCAACGTGGAGCTGCCGGCAGGATCCACCATCGAGCTCTCGCTCCCTTCCTCCTTCCTCCTCTCCGATTCGCAGGTCAGCTTCGAGGCAGCGGGCTACCGAGATGCTAGCATGTCGTACACGACCGCGAGCTCTGGCGGCTTCATCGTTCTCAGTATGCAGCGGAAGGTGAACGCGCAAGTGATCAGCAGCGGGTCCCTTGTACGTGTGAATGTGAGCAATGCTCGATCACCCACCAGCGAGGGGCTGACGGGAGTCGCGAGCCTCCGCGTGCTGTCCTCGGACGGAGGCGTGCTGGGGATAGCAGTGCTGCCTCCGAATAACATCGGTAAGAGGAGGAGGGGATCGGGGGAGGAGGGGAGGGGAGGGGAGGGGAGAAGAGAAGAGAAGGCGAGGAGGAAGGAGGAGGGAAGGACAGGAGGGAGGAGAGGAGAGGGAGAGGAGAGAAGGGTAACAAAGAAGGTGCAAGGCAAGGATAGAGAAGAAGACTGGGAGAGGAAGGGAGCAGGAGCGAGGAAGGAAGCGATAGTAGGAGGAGGGATTTGCGAGAGGTCTGCAGGAGGAAGGTGGAGGGTGGTGGTAGAGCTGAGAACAGGACCGCATCTCATCCTCCTGACAGGACGTCCATCGGAGCCGAGGAACGTGGAGGTCAAGAACTGCCCTGCCGACTACCCGCAAACCAATCCTTTCTGCCTCTCCATCTCCTTCGAGCAGCCGCTGGATGACGGAGGATCTCCGGTGAACTCCGCGCCTCCTCCTCCTGTCCCTGCCTTAAACTCTGCTGTAGATCGTCTCCTACATGATCTCTTTCTCCATGGCCGCTGACTTCAGTACGGTGGAGGTCGGTGCTCTGAAACAGCTTCTCTCTTCGCGTCTGTCTTGCTTCTCTGCTCCCCCCCCCCACCCCCCCCTCTTCTCTCTGTCCTCCCTTCTACTCGCTCTTTCTCTGCCTTCTCATCTTTTTCTCCTTCTCCTCTTCTGCTGCTCCATAACTCCCTCCCCTCCTTTCCCTTCTGCTTCATTTTCCAGCCTTCGTTTCCCTGCTTCACTTCTCCCTGATCCCCTACCACTGCTTCCTCCCCTCCCCTCTCCCTCTCCCCCTCCTCCCCCTCCCCCTGCGCGTCTCAAGCTTCCCTGCAGACTCTCACCATCGATGCGGGCGGTCATCCTGGCGTCATCTCAGTCACCACCCGCTCCCTCAACAAGAACGTCTTCTACGTGCGGGTGCAGGCAGCCAACGGCCCTAACGCCTCCTCCTATGGCATCGCGGGTGAGGGCAACTCAGTTCGTATCATCGACTACCCCGGGGCTCCTCGTCCTGGGCTCCTTCGTCCCGGCTCCGCCAACGTTCTCTCAGCCAGCTGGCTCCCTCCTCAGGTAGACTCCATGTCCTTAGTCTCTGACTCCCTCCCTCCCTCCCTCCCTCCCTCCCTCCCTCCCTCCCTCTGACCTTCCCCGGCAGTATACAGGAGGAGTGAACCCTGTAGCAAGACTCCTCGGCTACAAGATCGAGTTCGACAAGTCCAGCAGCAGCTTCCTCCAGGTCAACCCCAACCAAACCCTCGTCCTCGACGCCTCCCAGACCGTTGCCTCCTCTGGCTTCCTCCCGACAGGCTTCTACTTCGCACGGATCTTCGCCAAGAACGACATTGGCTACGGCCCTCCCGCAGTCTTCGCCTCCTCTGCGCTCGCCACTCCTTTCCTTCCCGTCCAGTGGAGCGACAATGTCACTGCCAGCTCCTCCTCCTCCTCCTCCTCCTCCTACACCCTCTACGTGGGGGAGAGCTTCGAGAAGCTCATCGAGGCCTTCGACGGGGACATCACAGATCAGGTGGCGATACTGGTGGACGACTCGGTCGGGCTGCCGGACGGTTTCGAGCTTCTTCCTCCTGCGATCTCAGGGAGAGACGGAGGAACTGCCAACGTGGCCTCCCGCGTCCTCTCTGCCATCCCAAGCTCATCCCAGACCGGACTCTCCTTCCAGGTCTGCCTCCTCGCTCTCAACAGCAACTCAAACCCCCTCGGCCCCAACACCAAGATCCGCCGCTGTCTCTCCTTCACCGTCCTCCACCCCCAGCTCCGATGGACGGCAGACACTCCAGAGGAGGGGTCCTCCCTGCTGGCGTACCCGGGTTGCAACGTTGAGGTCCTTGTGAACGTCGCCTCCCTGTGGTACTCCGTCCTCTTCAGGTACGACAAGCTCCTGATGGACTTTCAAGGCGTCTTCTCCCCCTGGAACGGTACGCTAGCAGGCGTCTCCTTCGCTCCTCTCCCCTCTAGCCCGACCCCCCTCCCCCAGCTCGGCCCCCAGCCAGAGTTTCTCCACAGCGCGAAGTTCCTGTACCAGCCTCCTCCCTTCCTTGCCGGCCGGAAGCTCAAGCTCTGCTTCCTCGCCTCCGACCCCTGGAACATCTCCTCCATCTCCCGCTGCGTCATCCTCCAGCTGGGCTCCTGCAAGGCCTGCATCCGGGCCGGGCAGACTCTCAGCTCCCTTGCTCTAGAGTATAAGACCGACTGGCTCCAGCTCTGGCTCACCAACCCCAACATCGGCAACCCCAACAGGATCCGCTCCTCCATCGACGTCCTCAGCATCGGCGTCCCCTACACCACCAGAGGAGGAGAGACAGTCAGCGGGCTAGCCGAGCGATTCTACTTGACTGCCAACGACGTCCTCGAGTCAAACACAAGGCCCGTCCTCCTCTTGAATCCTCCATCCTGCTCCCGCTTCCTCCTCATCCGCTTCCTCTCTCCCTCCCTGTCGCCTTGAATCC